GCAAAAGGAAAGTTTCCCCATTTAGTCTAGTTTTTCTTGATCCAAGACGCATAGCTTACCGGAAACCAAGCTATTCGCTGGGTTTCAGATCCTGAGTACTATTAAAATTTGAGGTCCAAATGTTGAGAGAGTACCTAATAAGCTGCTAAAAGCAGTATCAGCATGAAATAATTACTACTTTTAGTCTTTTAAGTAGCTTTGCCTTATTGCTATAGATTTCATAAGCATACAAAGAAAAAAAGACAGTGCCTGTTGTCTTTGGGTGTTACCTTCAGGCTATCATTTGATCCCTCCTGGTCCCTAAACACATATAGGTCTTGAGGGAGGATAGGCAGCTTTGTAGTTTCAACAAACAATAAGCTTCAGAAGGTCAACTGTACAGTTTTAGCCTAGTTTTTGAGTGAGCAGGTGGTACCAAAGATACAAAAGTCAGTCCCTGTAATCTACCGAGACCTGCACCATAATAATACATGCTCCGGAAGCTGACAAGAAGCTTTCTCCAGTGGGCCAAAACCCCCCCAAAACAGTCAGGCAAGACCTCACAATGCAAAACCAGCTGCTCCACAGAAGTTAACCAAGTTTCTTTACAAACTGCCAAATGCCCAGCTATCTCAAACAGCAAACAAAGGAGGTTTCTTCCCTGGATTCTCCAGCCAAGCTTCACTCACATGCCCTAGATCATGGGTGAGCCTGCTGAAATGATAACACACCAAGGACCACTCTGGGGAAGCTGTTTCAGGACGCAAGCTCAACATCATGAATAGCTCTGTGATGAACTACAAGCCAAAGCATATTCTCCAAGTCAACATATCAACTGCTATTTCCACTTGTTAAACAGCTCAGTAATGAAATGCATTTTAAACTTCCAAGAACAGGATGAGAAGCAAAGCAGGGTATATCATAATTATTCATTATTCAGCTCTCTAGTTTCAAAAACAAGAAAAAGACAAGAATACCATCTGCAATTCAAAAAAAGACCCCAACAACTTTCCATTCAAAAGCTTTTTGTTTTTTTTTAAAGATGGAAAAATTATTTTTAAATCAGAAAGCAAATCAATCACTGAAAAATTATGTGGAATCTTCTAGAACTTCAGCAGATTAAGTTCCATCATTCCACATAGTTTTGTTCCCTTCTATAATAGTAGGGCATCTGCTACCAGGATATTTCAGTTTCACATTGTATCAACTGCTGTTCAGGCAATGCACAGCACAGTAATGAGCCACATGTTCAGTTATTAACTAAGAGTCCATAGATAATTCGGTCACTTCCTCTGATCCCAGTCAAGAGGGCTGCAGGCGCTTCAGAACCAGAGCTTTGTTAACTTCATTTTTCATTCCCCTACTTTTTAGTTGTGTAGTGGTGGTTTTGTTTTGGGTTATTTTAGGGATAGGACAAAGAGAAACCTGGATACCAACAAACTGAGGATGAGTAAGAGACTATACTGTCACAGGTGACAGAAAAATCCCAATCTTACTGAACTCTCAGTTACAGTTAAGTTACAGTGATTGTTAAATCATTTTTAGTATTATTCAAAAGTTTACTTACACAAAGTGGTTTAATGCTTTTAAACAAATGGCTTGAAACATCTAAATACCAAAACATATAGACAGATTTGCAGCACACTCCCATAAAACTACAGACAAAAGTGCTAATGGGAGGACGGAACCCTTATGATAATCTGTTTTACTAGATAGGGAGACAATGTTTAATGATAAACGACAATGAGAAAATAAACTATAGGCCTAGAAATTAGGTATGATAAACAAGCCTTGAAAACATCACTATTAATTACACTATTCTCTCAATTTTCAGCTGTCTAGAATTAAAATAGAAGATAAACCATTATTTTTTAGATACACACAGCACTAAAGTTTGTACTGAAACAAGAAGGAACCAAAGCATTTAACACCCTGTTTGGGAACTAGAGTTTTCCCTGATGGGCAAACACCTAAAGTACTGCATGTGCAACAGAAGCATATTAAATAGTTTCATTTGTAACTAGAGGTACAAAGCCTACAAGTTTATTGTTGAGGGGGTTGTCTGTTTGTCTGAATCTACTGTTAAATTAAGACAGATCAAGCTTGGAGCAAGCTATGTGTCCAAATGCAAAATGTACTTTCAAATAAACAGACTAGAAATTTTCCATATTCCTGACACGCACAATATTAAGGACAAAAGAAAAACTCCTCACATTAACAAATCATTATCTTGCAGCTACAGACTAGAAACAAGTCAATAAGGAAACCTTTTGAAACGGTTCCTTCCAGCATCATGCTCACAGCACTTCAGTGAAGATCTGTGTGCTGCGATAGTAACGGTAAGTAAAAAGTGTTGCAATATCTTTCAGGAACACAAAGTGATCCAGATGTTTTTATCAATGAAATGCAGCAGTGCTTCCACTGCCTACAATTTTGTCAGCTATGAATAACTAAATGCTTTCAGCCTAGTCAGCTAGGAAGGATGAAGGAAGAAAAGTCCCATTTAGACTACAAATCCCACACACAAGTAATTTCTGACTTAAGTTTCTCTCTTTGTGCACCTGAGAACAGTAACAAAGTGCTGGCATACTTTAATGTATCTACACTACTTTCACAAATCCAAAGCATGACATCAAACAGAAGTAGTAGCACTCATTACTACCAGGGCAGAAGGCTTCAAGCCTTTTTAGACACAATTAGAAATCTCAAACTCTCACAGAACAGCAGCATCGAGTTATCATCCACAATAAAATGAACAGTTCTTTCTCATTTGGAAGAAAAGCAGAAACTGCTAGAATTGTACCACAGAAAGCAGCACGGAGAGCCAAGGGTCTTTCACACATCAAACACTGTACATAAAAATAAGCCTATTTCAAGCAATGCAGCAACATGTACCATATTCTGCTATCACTAAAGCTAACTTCGCCTCTGTTGCTATTGTCAGCTACCTGTCACTCCAAACCACAGTACAATCTTTCAAGTGAAGTAAGGAATCACAGGATTCCAACTTTCACTATCCCAACCATACTGATTTCAGTCAGTTCCTCTCCTCTTTCTTCCTCAGAGGCATGCCCCACTAATTATTTAAGTATTTTCTCTTAGAAAGAGCTCTGAATCACCATGGGTAACCTTTCTCCTCCTTAAGACTCACCAACGCGTGTATGAATCAGTAACTTTGAAACCACAGCTTGCACACAGGACTAGGATGCCAGAAGTGGAAAAAGTTCCATTTACAAGATAATCTTATCTTCTCCCACTCCAAGATCATCTCTTCTCCCACTTCTTAGAACACAACAAATGAAAAGGGGAAAAAGGTACTCAAAATCAAATCCAAATCCTTAGCCACAACAGTGAGGATCCCTGGGTGTCTCAATCAACTATTTCAGGATTATTCTCATCTCTTCACTGATTAATACCAGGTGTCCAGTAGGATTCTGAACAGTAAAGCCCTCGGGGAAGTGACAGTCCCTCCCCCAAATAAGAGGCTGGGTAACTCAAATCCAGTATTAAAAGAAAACTTAAAGCAGCTGGGTAAGTATTTATGAGGGAACACAAGCTCAGAGGTTGATGGGCAACTCAGTTTCAAACTCAAGAACTTCCACAAACAGCAGCACACACGCCCCAATAAAATCCTATTTCATAACTGCACAACACACAGATATCATGTGAGCATATGGCCTACTTAAACTACTTTTTTAACTGCTATCTTTAAACAACACTCAAGTTCCATTCCCCCCTTCTGAACATAAGCAGGTGAGCTAGCCTCCAACAAGAAAACTTTACCTGGGTTTCAAGAACAGTATCATGCTACAAGTGAAGCCATGACACCACTATAGTTAGTCAGAAGCACTTAAACATGTAGATGGCCTCAGTGACATGGTTTAGTGGTAAACTTGGCAGTCCTGGGGTGATGGTTGGACCTGATCATCTTAAAGATCTTTTTCAACCTAGCTGATTCACGATTCTACGAAATCCCCAGCCAGCAATAGGCAGACCTTTCTATCACCAGAATAATGCAACATCAGCACTGAGAAGTTAATGAAAGGTGATGAATCTCCCTTGAAGACATAGATCTCTTCCAGACCAACGCAGCCAGCAGTGAGGGTACCAGGGTGTTGTGTAACACACACAGTTCAGAAGCCTGCTCCTACTAAATATTACCTACCAAATTCGGCCTTTCTCTCTTGCACAGAACCCAGCAAAAGTCCCAAACAGGTAAACAGTGCAAGGTGTAGAGCCCGATACTATTCCCTAACAGGCAGTTGCCTTGAACAACACCGCCGATAAGCTCACTGAAACGTGCCCGGTTTAACCTTGGGGTGCACTGAGCCCGCTCAGGACGAGAACCTGAGGGAAAGCTCCTTTTACCCGATCATCTCAGGTAAGGTGAACGTGTGCCTGCAAGCCCAGGGCCCGCAACGCTTGGTGGAACCGGGGACCACAGCCATTAGGAATCCTTCCCTGTGTCCCTCAACACCCTTCCCGAGCCTGCCGCTGCATGGGGCGGGTAAGGAGCGCGGCCGCTCCCGCACCCCCCTCAGCGGGACAGGAAGGCCGGCACCGCCCGGCCCCTCTCCGTCCGTACGGATGCATCCCGGGACGGGCTCCACGCCGACCACCCCATACAGGGACTTCCCCCCACTTTCTTCCCTCCCGTTGCCTGTGATGGTGGTGGGGTGGGGGAAAGCGGCCGTTACTCACAACTCCAACATCCACTGGCCCTGCAACACCAGGCTCCAGTTGGAGCCGCCCAGCACTTGCACGCGGCTCCGCGGCTCGCCGGGGCTGCCCGCCCAGGGCAAGGACGAGATACCGGCGGCGGGACCCAGCAGCCCTGCGAGGAAGAGGAGCAACAGCACGGCACCAAAAACAAACCTCAGCCCGCCCGCCGCCATATTCCACCCGCCCGCCCTCAGGAAGTGAGGGCGCCAGCGGAGGCGGGGCCCGCGCGGGGGGCGGGAAGCGCGCGGCGCGGCCGTTGGGCGCGAGCCACCCCCTGAGGGGATCTGTGGTACGGGACCAGCCGGCGGCGGTTCGGCACCGAAACCGGATAGACCTCGGTGTCACCGGCACGGAGGGAGGCTGCAGGCCCGGCTCCCGCTGCAAGCAGGAGCGCACTCGGCAGGTTCATGAGTCTTTCTTCTATTTGGGCGCCCGTAACGGGATGTTCAAGGTTCTCAGCGAGTTCTGAGTGATAAAAACCGGTAAACGCTTGACTGTGATGCTGTTAGCTGCCAGCCCTGACAGGCTGCAATGCAGGATCGTGTTTAAGTGTCCTGGCAGCCTGAGATCTTCCCTGTGAGGGTGCTGAGGCGCTGGCACAAGGTGCCCAGAGAAGCTGTGGCTGCCCCATCCCTGGCAGTGTTCAAGGCCAGGTTGGACACAGGGGCTTGGAGCAACCTGCTCTAGTGGAAAGTGTCCCTGCCCATGGCAGGGGCTTGGAGCTGGATTAGCTTTGAGGTCCCTTCCGACACAAACCGTTGTATGATTCTATCCCCACGTATTGTTTAGCCCACCCCAGACACAGGGCTTCATGTTTTCCCTTGTCTTCAATGACATTCCTGTCAACCCTATTCCTTTGGCTTGTCCAGGTCTTTCTGAATGGTAGTCCCACCCTTGAGTGGAATGGTTCATTAGGGATTGCAGTGATAGGACAAGGGGTAACGGGTTAAAACTTAAACAGGGCAAGTTTAGATTGGAGATAAGGAAGAAATTCTTTACTGTAAGGGTGGTGAGGCACTGGAATGGGTTGCCCAGGGAGGTTGTGAATGCTCCATCCCTGGTGGTGTTCAAGGCCAGGTTGGACAGAGCCTTGAGTGACATGGTTTAGTGTGAGGTGTCCCTGCCCATGGCAGGGGGGTTGGAACTGGATGATCTTAAGGCCCTTTCCAACCCTAACTATTCTATGATTCTGTCACTGCACTCTCTGTGGTAATCGGGACAGTCAACTTCCTCAGCCTGGCAAACTGGCCAGAAAAAAAATAAGGTATCACTGTACAGGTCTGAGTTGCTGTCCTGCCTGATACAAAAATCAGCTCTTTTTTTGCCTGAAGACTGTCTTGTGTTGTAATTTGTGGTGAATTTCCTAACAGCTACTCCAAAACTTGATAACCTCTGTTGTTAAAACATTTACACTCTATTTCTCTCCATCAGAGGAAACAGTGAGGCTTACCACATCTAGGTTTTTATTTTATCACTTTGCCAGTTTGGTTTATGAGGATCTTTTACATTACTCCCGTATTTCTTCACAGCAATATGGGCTTTGCTCTAGTTGTTCCTTAAAACCTGAATATTGATGTGGCCTTTATTTATTGACGCTGAAGTGGACTCAGCATTAGCTTCTGGGTTCAGAAGTACAAGATTGTTCCTAGCCAGGAGGGCTTCAGCAGGAGCTGTAAGCTTCTACTCTTTCTCCAACAGGCCTGCCTGTTGCACCACTCACACTATGCAGAAATGAAACAGTGACAGCAGTTTTCCTCATCTGCTACTTCCCAAGAGTAGGTCACCTCACCCAGTGACTCTCTCCTTGCTAGGTATTCAGATAGTACCTGTTGTTATCAAAGATTTTTGTTGACCGCTTCCCATCCTTTCTGAGCTGTAAGCTTTTTTGCCACTGCAGTTAATACCAGCTGAGGGGTAAGAGCCACACAGAACACATCTTCTGATATTTCCCATGTGATATACATAGATGGAACTCAAAGTGTCTGTACTAGAGTCTTTCTAATCCTTTAGCTATTCTTGTGGTTTGTAAAACATACATGTTTTCTCTAATTTACCATTGCTTTCCTGAATGGATAGTTTGAAAATTGAACGTGGTATTTTAGCAAAGTTGAGACCTGAGATGTGTAGTGAAGGAAAAGAAATACAGCAGTAGACACACACTTGGCTGAAGTGCCCTTGTGCAGAGATAGTACAGAAAGGACTCTTTTCTGCTGCTCAGTAAGAACTGGGGAATCCTGAGGGAAACATACTAGTTTTTCCACACTCTTTAAGGGGAATGGGGTAGGGAGGGCGCACTCAAACCAGAGAGGTTTGAGATCTGGTGGTGGAGCCAAATTAGAAGAATTTATGTGACAAACAGCTGATGTGCAAAGGAGAAGATTGAGGAATATTTTATTGTTGGTACAAGGTTCTGTATAGTTACATTTGTGTCTTAAAAGAACATGCAAATGAAGGGGGTGGCAGATCTCTATCAAGTGGCTGAGGAACACGTGAAATGATAGCTCCAAATACATGGGAGTGTTTCTGTGAATTGAAAAAGACAGGAAAGAAAGATTTGAGGATGAAAAGAGCAAAAGAATTACTTTGTAAGTAATTACCATATGGTTGAATAAGCCATATTCAACACAGAGGATGTTTGCAGTTCAGGCAAAGTCTGCTCAGGAACAAGGCACAGTGGCTTTCATTCCTAAAACAGAGCAGTGTGTTCCTAAAACAGGGGAGACATGTCATGGTGCTGCTAATCCCTCTGAAGTAGATCAGGCTTGCAAAGATGGAGAAGATACACCTCATTTGAACCTGAATTAAGAGCATGAAACAGGAAATGGATAAAAAGAAAACAGGAGGGCAGTTAGAGAAAACAGCTGTCTGCACCAGACCGTTTATTTTGTGATTACTTCAATTACTCCATCCCTTATAAAACTTTTTCTTCTTTAGCTTCATTGGGCTTCTGTGAGATCTGCATGTCTTCAACTTTTACCCTATATGGGTGTGTGTTGCCCTGCTGTCTTTGCATAGATCTTGACAGTTACAGTTGTCCAGCTTCCCTACTCCCACTGCTGTTATAGGAAAGGTTTAGGAATCAAGCTGTAAGTTTAGGTTTCAACAACTGTTGATGGAAGTGTATCCATGAATCACAGTAAAGTTTTGGACAGAACTGGGAGAAAGAAAAATAATAAATTTATGAGTTTAATTCTGTAACTGTTTAATACTGATTATAAAATGGGAAGTTCAGCTATAGCATGGAAATAACAAGTGGGGTAGACCTGAATGGAGAGACACCAACAATGTATCATCTTCTCTGGTACTGCAGGCACTCCCGTCACAAATATTTCTACTCAAAAGATAATTTACTTTGGTAACCAGTCCCTGCTGTGTACAGAGCACCCCACCAAAATACGTTGTTTCTTATATTTCCCTAGCAGTATTTTCAGTGTTTCTCTTGAAGGAAGACTGTGCTTTGTGCTCCCTGTTTTATCTGTGTCAAGTCTTTGTTCTGAACTAAAATTTAGCCTCCTGTGATAGTGTGGCTTTCCACTGGGGGGGGGGGGGGGAAGAAAAGGCATTATTAACTCACTGATTTTAGTTGTATGGTATAGAGGGTCAAGTTAGAAAACTTTTTCTGTAAGTTTGTTTCCATTAGGTTTATTTTCTACTTTATTGAATGTTGCCCTTTCATTAGTTTGTGTGGGTATCTCATGTTCAAGAAAGGTATTCCAGCACTCTTCATGTGTTTTCTTTCACTGTGTCATGATGGATCCATGACGCTACCTAGAGCAAACTTACTATAAAATAGGTCTAATATGACCATCTTTGTAATTTTTCCCATTCTGTACTGGATTTCCAGAATTACCCTCCTAAATTTTTGGAATTTGTTTGTAAAACTAGAAAATAAGAGGTGGTTATCACACAAACAATAGCAGTTTCATTATTTCCAATTTTAATTTAATCTGTACATGTACCTAATGAAATAATACTTGCAATATTTTTTCTCTATGTGAATAAAGAGTTTGAAACTTGGTTTATAATTTAAGTCAAATAATAGAGAATAAACATATATGGCCAGAAATAAGTATTCCATGCCATAGTATTCCTGTTCTAACATGAATTCATTAACCTCAGAGCTTGTTGTATTTAAGGAGAATGGGTTAGTTGCAAATAGGTAGGTCAGTAAATACAAACACAGTAACTAACTGTTGGAAATTCACCAGGGCTCTGCCTTTGACATCTGTTTAAGAAGAACAAAAATCTCTATGCAGGAGTTTGACTTTTGACCAGGGTTTTTCATATCTGTTCTTCATAAATATAACTGCGAAATTCATTGGAATGTTAAAAGTATATAGAAAGCTTTCTTTCTGATAGAAATCAAGTTTACATGAATCTAATGACTACCTACCAAACGTAGGTATATAACGGAAATAAGAAATCATATTTTGCACCTTCATAATGAAAACCAGTGCAGGTACTATACCCATAATACTTCTAGTTAAATGTAGTTTTCAAGAACATCTGAGCTTTGTTCCTGTGTAAACATGAACTAGAGTTGTTCTGTTAAGAACTCCAATTTGAAGATAAATTATCAAAGGCATTCAGCATTGAAAAATACATCTGATTATCAAAGCAACACTCACTGCTCATTTGTTGTTTATGCTTCTTATTCAGGGAAGTTAATGTGAATCACTACAGTCTCATTAGTGGACACACATTCTGCCCTACCTACCTGAATGGCTGTTATTGATCTTCTAGTAAATAATACATAAAATGTGCTTTTCCATCTTGCCTGCATGTCCAACTATTGAAGACACTTGGCTACTGAGATGAAGTTTGTCATACAACAGGATACAACAGTGCTCAATGTACTTCCTGCCCCCAGAAGCATCTGCAGCCTCCAGGGAGCAGAGACACAAGAGAGAACCTGGTTCAGGAAGCATACCATGCCTACGTGGGAGCTAGAGGAACAGTTTGCTTGCTGGCTTTGAAAAGATGACTGCTCAGCAGGGAAGGTGGGACAGAAAGAATGAAATTTGGAACCTGCAGGGCAGCCTGCTTCTGGTGAAATATCTCTGTACTGGTATCTTCTTGTAACAAAAAGATGGAAGTACAAAATGGAGGGACAGGAAGTCATTTGCAGGCCTTATGTAATATGCATCTCTGTGAAGAGGTGCATGCCAGAGGATTCCTCTACCCACACAGCTCTCCACCATGCAGGCATTCCTCTGCAGCCTTATCTTTGCATAACTCAAGCATAGACCTCCTACAGGATCATCTCCCACCTCTAATGTGCATCTGTTCGTTCTCTGCCTGTCAAGCCTCTTCAGAATTTAAAAGACATTGCAAGAGATAGAAGAACAAGCTTTCAAGTTTGAGTGCACCAGATCAGGAGAAATCCAATAAGAAATGTGAATTTATATTGCCTTACTTATTCCTCTTTTTTATTTTTCCAGAGTGGAAAAGAGAAAGGAGAACTGCTGTCTAAGGAACTGTTGCTTGCGATATATTTCTCCATGGCAATAAAAATATCCGCAAGGCAGAGGTACAATTCTCTTTTTAGACCTGACACCTCCAAAGCCTGATATATGTGGCTGAGTTAGATGAAAAGGTATTAGGTTTTTTATTAGATTATGATGCAAGCTCAAGCTGGCTAGGCTCATCAGACAATAAATCTAGTGCAAGTATGTGTGGCCAAATTCTACTCTCATAATTGTTGCTCTCTGTGGTCAGTATTACTTGCTACTGTGATACTGGCTCTCTTCTGCTAGTTGTGAGAAGGGCATAGATTATTTACAATGTAAACAGTCGCTGACATAGAATAATTCTGATTGTGCTTCCACATTAAATCAGGAATAATGCTACTAAAGGCGAAGCAGTTATTCTTCCTTACACAATACATGAATCCAAATTTAGGCCTTTATCACAAGGCTAAGGTTTGATAGGTATAGCATGGATATTTATGCATGGCTTTTTACCATCGATGACTTCTTGTTTCAGAAATAACCTTTTTTTTGATCCTTTCTGATAGCTGCATGTTGTGTTAAAGTAAATCAAACTGTTATGGAGATCTTCTATTGACATTAGCAGGGACTGCACAAGAATTGGGTGGCTGAGAACTGCACTTTTCTGTGCTTTTTCCATTCCAGACAGTGACATTCTCATGAACAGTAGGAAGCTCTCTTCACAGTAGGTCATCCTCATTCTAAACTTGCTCCAAATGATACAGCTGCTCAGCAGTGAAACAGGCTCCCCAAAGGGACAAATGTAAACCCAGGCTAAGCTCACAGATGTTCTATGGCAGAGTATCTGCTGTGCATTATAACACACAAAATATATTGCTGTGATTTTTTTAAAGGTCGCAATAACTCAAGACATCCCACAAAAAGAATAAAAGCTCACCTGAAACGATGGCATGTTTGAGAAAATGAAAACTGTCACATCATAAACTAAGTTCTTCCTTGTAGTCAATTTTTGGATAAGCATCTCAAAAGATACTGCAGCAGAGCCATAAATCCAGATGCCAGTTCTCAAGCCAAGCTTTCAAAAATTCCAATCTTTGTGAATGTATATTAATCTGAATTCAGTGCTGAGATAAGCAACTCCTGATGAAAGCAGCAGGATATACATGAGACAATAAAGAAATATTTTCCAATATATTGCTATGTCTGCACTACCTTTTCAGAGTTTGTAGTCATTCTCTCACACTAGAAAAATGCGTCTTCATCTCAGTGCAGTGAAGAAAAGTATTTCTGGCCTCCATCTGAACAATTAATAGTTATGCCAGTATCTCTGAGGCTCCTAGGGGGTTAGTCTTCCCTAATAATTTTCAGGTCTCTTCCAGTATTCCAAAACAGGCCTAAAATCCTTATCTGGATCTCCTGTTTAACCAGTGATTACTTGCAACTCTGGGCATGTTTCTCCTATTCCTTTCCCACTGGCCTGTGCATTCACGTCTATAAACCTACTGAAACGCACAATGAATGTAAGAACTGTAATTATGTGACTATATTCTGCTGTAGCTTTGCCACTGTAATTCTCCTTGTTCTCCCTTTCCCAGGGACAGTTTAAAATAAGTTACTTTAAAGAAGAATTACATGCAATGTCATCTGAGTTTATTTCATCACTTATCTGGAATCACCAATGTCTGAACAGACACTTCAGGCAATTTATTCTTTGAACAATGACCTCAAATTTTTCCTGGAATATTAGGAAGATGATCACTTCCAGTTGTAGTCCTAAGATCACCCCTTTAGAGTTTAGTTACTTGAATGAAAGTTGGATTTGAACCAAAATGTTCTCTGTATTGAAATGAAAAGCAGGCTGAGGTCAAAATTCTTGGTCCTGACATCATCTTTTTCTTAACCAAAAATCCAGATAAAGGAAGAGCCAAGCAAAGGTGATTTTATCACCATCAACAGGCTATATTGTCTCTTCAGTATTGCTACAAAATGGAATGAGAAGATTGCTTACATTTCATAACAACTTATGTGGCCTCAGAAATACTTCTCTCTGCTCAAAGAGAGGTGTGATATAGATTAATAAGCCCCTACAAGGATGTTTTTATGAATGGACCTCTGCTTTTGGTGACTGAATGCTCTTGCAGGTGCCAAAGAAAAGAGGCCACCTAGGTAACTCTGCTTCCAGCCTGATCGCCATCTGGTACAGAACATCCCCATAGCTCACTGTGCAGCTGCTTGCCTGTGACAGTTGCCAGAAGCATTTGCACTGCTGCTGTCAAAAGACACTTCCAGGCAGTTTGTCATCTGCAGGTTGCAATTGCCTTTCAGGTAGTGGAATACTGATCATGGGCTTGCTGTGGTAGTCCTGTTCAGGCAGAACTATTAGATGTAGCAGGAGTTCTGCTTGAAGAGTTACTGCTGCATGGGGCTATAGATTATTAGATTGAAATGTTGTATCTTGTTTCTGGAACATGTGAAAGCAAGTCTTCTTAAATGTAAATTGTCTGAGAAAAAGACTACTCAAGCTTCTGGAAAGCTGAAATTTCGGTCTTTTAATTGATAGTGCCACATAAACCTTCAGGTATACAGTCAGCAACCAGTTATCATCCCATCATCAAATGCAACTTCCAAAGTGTCCATAAATATTTAAGCCTATTGCAACATTCAGACATGTGGGTTGATAATTAAGGTGATCAGTGTAATGCAAATGACTGATTTTTCTCTGGAAAGTTCCTGTGCAGAGCAATTGTGTGATGCAGCCCTAGAATACAAGGGCGTCAAGCACAAAGTCAAGATAATATTTGTCTTTTGAAAGAAAGAAGAAAAACTGTAGGGGGTGCACATTTATCTGAAGTGTGGGTTGATGACAGGGCTTGTTTAAAAGTTTATTTCAGAGCTACTTTGCCAGAGAAAGCATTGGCAGGTATCTAGAAATAACACATTTAGCAGGGAATATGAATGTTGAAGTTGATGAGTGCTCAGAGCCTTCTTTGCCAGCCTTTCCCTGCTAAGTACTGTTCATCTCCACAAGTGGACAACATAAAACAGATATAGTCAATAAGTGGATTATGTATGGTAACAATCTAAAGGGTGCTTTAAGGATATAAATATGTAGTCTTAAACATAAGAGCCTTGTACTGAAAGTTCATTTTTATTCCTGAAATATTCCTAGCTATAGTGCAGCTTTCCATTTCATGGAAAGTATTCCTGTTCTTTCAGCTTCATCCATAACCTCTAAAGCCTGACTTTTCTCCTTAGGGGAAACATGAAATAAATTGTGCACTTTTAAAGGTTTTTGTAACCTCAAACATCTTTTTCCGATCTCTATCAGCTGATTGAGTAAGAAAGTTGTCTTGCTTTTCAAATGGCCTTTAGGTTGTTTGATCAAAGTTTATGAGGAATCATTTTCAGGGACCCAGACATGACCCTGTAATAAGCTGCTGTTGCCATACACTTAAGAACAGAGAAAGAGGCAGTTTGCAAAGTAGAAATCTGCTATGCAACAACTGCCAAAGCAACAGCACTTTGGCTTTAGACCGTCCTGTCTCTGGCTAGCGCACTATAGATCCAAGCCTTACATTCTAGTCCTGTGAGTCTTCGGTCACTCCCATGGAGTGCTGTCCCTTAGGCAAGTATACCCTTTGGCACACTTGACCCTAACTATAGCTCATGTTGCAACTCTTAGCCAGTGGGAATGTTACTGCTGCTCAAAACACTGGGAAAGGGTGGAATTCTTATTTCTGTGCCTCGCCCAGAACAGCTTTATCAGCCAAGTGCTTCTGTAGCCCAACTGATGGATATTCTTTAAGCTGATATTTTACATTTTTTCTCCCATTTCTGTGTTTTCCATGATAAATCAATAGGTAAAAATGGGAAAGCATAAGACAATGATGACCTTCTAATAGGACTTCTGTGTTTATATATGTGTTTATATCTAAAACCCCAGAGGCTTCTGTCTCAGAGGTGCATTAATGTAAGAAAACTACCAAGACTGTAAACCTGAAGGCAGCTGCAGTCAAAGGTATCTTGAAACAGCCACATTAAGTGGCTGAGCAGACATTTATACTTGTAACACTGGCTGAGCCCTGGCCATAATAATAAGATTACTTTCTGATTTGGCTTCATAGAGAATTATACTCTTGGTGAACTGTTAGAATATAGCTATAAATTGCCTGTTCAATTTGATCCAAACAGATCCGTATGCATGGAATATGTCCTGCTAAATCACAGCTTCAGACACAACAGCACTCTTGTTCCTTCTTTCACACATTTGTGTGAAGAAGCTGAATTATATGCCTCATTGAGGTAGAAGAAATAATACTTCTACTGCAAAGTAGAAAATAGTGAAAATTCTAAATGCTTGAACCCTCCAAGCAATTTCTTAAATTCAACCATACAATTTCTGTTACAAAAATCAGAAAAAAGAATGAGCAGGGTGTCACCCAAATCCCACCACACCCTAAGAAATGAGCTCTGCTGTCATTCTCTCAAACACAGGACTGCCATTTGGAGATGTAACAGACATTTTTTGAGTCCTCTTAACTATCTGCCTACCATTTGCTGCTACTTGTGGTTCAGTGATTTCCCAGTAAAATCTGTTCTGTGAACAAAAGGCCGGAACAAGTAAAACAACTTTTTGGTTGGTAACAGGTGCTGGTTGCTTCTTCTGGCCTGGATGGATTTTGTATTTTATGCCCAGAATTTCTTTTGGGATTCAGTACTATCCCTTCCCATAAATATCAAACAAAACAGAAAATCTCAGCAATGCCTGAGGACTGCAGAGAAAGTGCAGCCCGTCCCTTGAGGTCACTACAACACCAACCTTCTGCTGTTTTCACATTCTGTTCTTATTTTTTAAGGGTCCCTCGCAGGAGCACAGATGGCTTTTAAAGGGATGGTCCTCATGTTCTATCTAGAGTCTGTTTATTGGCAAAGTAATCACTGGAACCTTCTATAGGTAGGAAAAAAGCTGGTACAGAAGGAGCTTAAGAGTAAACAAATCCCACTACTACTTTCAGCTTTCCAAAGTCTGACTAGGTAGAGAACCTTAGAAATAAGGGCTCTAAATGTGCAAAGTGTTATCTGCTAATTTGGCCTCTGTTGAAAGACAAAAGACTAGTTAGTAGACAAGCTAAAAGCCCTCCTAATGTTAAAAGCCATTACAAGAGATATAGTGAAGAACCATGGCAATGAGAAAATTAATTTCTCCCACTCAGAACTATACACCTAATTACACATTTATACAACCAGCAAAAAGACCTAAGACTGTTGGTAAGAGTTCATACCTACTGATTGAAATAAAAGCTTGCTGGACACCGTAGTGAACGCAACTATGAAAAAAGGAAGCCTTGATTATACTATAGTAAAACACATTGAGAGCCTGCTGTGAAATGCAGGTCACCAGGTGCTACACTGCACTACTCCCTATGGGTCTAAGCCTCCTCAGACAAAAAGACCCTTTCAGGTCTAAGTACTTACAAACTTATATGGTGGGAGGCTATTTCACACTCCTCTTCCCAAAAGAGGGCATCACCCTCCTGAGGGCACTAATAAGCTTTGTTGGCCCACATCAGCTTCACCTGGGACCCCTGCCAGCACCCCTTCCCATAGGCCCTTGGGACCCATTTAAGCTCAAGCTTGGGTGTGATGTTGTGGTTTTGTGCTGTGGGGTTTGTTGATTTTAGTTGTGTTTTGTGGCTTTCCTTAATGCCTGAAGTGCAGATTTGTCTGCTGTTGCTATTGTCTGCATGGGCCTGGTTCTGTTGCTTTATCTGTGGCTGTTGCTATATTCTATACTCATATCCTGCAGGATGGTGTCCTGGTTAGGTCTGTGCTAGGGTCATGCTCAAGTTCTGGCTTAGCTCTGCTTGTGGGGTTGTGCTAGATTTTTTTGATGCTACAGGATATGTTAAGTAGGAAGATAAATAAACTAGGGCTGGAATGAAGCTTCAGGGGATTAAAAGCTAATATAATTTTTAAAAGTTAAAGTTTTCTGAGATGTTAAGAACACTGAGAAGTACCTAATCTTGATGTGGAAATCTCTAGAAATAAATAGTCTATTGTTTCCTGTGTCAGATTTTTCTAGAACTTAGTTGCTTTGAAAAAGATTCTTAAATGCCAAAGACTGCATTGTATTTTGTTGCAACAGGATGTATGCCTGTCACTGACTCCTGTCAGTGAAACCAACAGGATTACAGAGAGTGGGATTTGCTTCTGTAGTTCAAAATAGGCTGTTCAGTGAAATAGATTACAGCATGCTAAGCTCATTTTCTTAAAGAGCCTGCTTAATTTCAGTCTGGAGAAGAATGGAGATTACTCACAGTTCCTCAAAAGGGAGCTGAGAAGTGAGATGTTTAATGCTGTCTATAGCCAGAGCTCATTATATATTTTGTATGCTTGACCAGGAAGTATAAATGCAAGTATCATATTTGGTTTGAACACCTGTTTGTAGAGTATCTAGTTTACATGAATAGCTAGCAGCAGTTTCTTGGAGAAATCGCGTAAAAGATGTGTGCAAACTGCTTTACCTAGGCCAGATGCAGTTAACAGTTGCAGTTTTGGTACTCATTGAATTAAATTCACCCTGCTACTTACAGTTGGATTCTAATCAGAATAACTCTCTTTTCCTGTG